AAATAAAGAGCAACAAATGTGTCCGAGAGACTAAAATATTGCGTTCAATAATCAAGTGTATATTTCAATTAATACAGCCCAATGTTGCGAAAACTACGACTTCATGAAAACAATTTAAAAATGTAATGATTTTAAAGATCATTTTTCACAATTATCTTGTGAAGCTTAACCTAGTTTTTTTTTTAATGGAACTCCATTTTTTATATAAATAGATTCTCGCAATTTGACATAAAAAGTTATAAAAGTGGGATGGCCCAAAAATGAATAGTTGACAAGATATTTATATTTTATATTCTAATGTAAAATAATTTTACATAAAATATCTCGTAAAATATTTATTTTTCAATCATTTTATACGCACAAAATAATGAGAGGAATTAATGGTGTAAGAAAGCACATAATAATCTTTGTAATATGTAATTTGCAACTAGTATAGCAAAATTAGGTTGACCTTCAAATGACCTTATAATTAGTTAAAACTCAAGGTTATCAACTTTTTTTCTCCCTCGAAACTGTTGTATAAAATATATTTTTATTACATTATTTGATTATATAAAATAAAATAGGACATCTTATACATTAGCTAATATTTCTACATCTTTTGAACATTGATTCTTGGGATAGATATTTTTATAATATTGTCATGAAGAGAACGTGATTTTTCAAATGGGTCGAGACTATTCAATTTCGATTTGTTCGGCAGCTGCGTATCTCTCGATGTAGTTTCGTTGCCAGGCTTCGTTTTGAAGCTTATGATATATAGCTCAAGCCGACGAGCGTTTTTGATACCGTGGGTTCGTTCCAACATTAGTTGATAACGAAGCGGACGTGTGCTGAGAAATAACAAGTTCGTTTCTAGAAGGTGGCGGAAAGAAAAAGAGAGAGAGAATGAGAGAACGAGAGTAAGATTGCGTGTATTTTTGCCCGGAGGAAAACTCTCTCGTCGGATATCTACGGTACCTATTATTGAAGCTATAACGATCCGCGATCGCCCTTATAACGATTTTAATTAAACGTGACTGCCGAGAGAGAGAGAGAGAGAGAGAGAGAGAGAAAGAGAGAAGAACACTCGCGTAATGGAGCGACAAATTAATTGCAGTTCGACGAAACGTTTGATCTTTTCCCGGGAGCGTCATATTGCGTGTACGTGAATTTAGTTGCATTTGCACCGGCAAACATTATAATCGCGTCAAATATTTGTTTAGAATCCTTTCGGAAAAAATACCCCAATTCAATTCTTCACTGAAAGAGAGGTCTACATTTTTATGAATTATTTGTGTACAATTATAGTTAATTAATGGTAATGAATCTTGATGGCACCGAATCTATATGGCATTTTCAGAGAGATGTGCTTATTTTAGCTTGAATTTAATTAATTATACGGGGTTCCATTTTAATTAATATAGGATATTGCTGAAACATAAAATAATGAGAGAAATCAAGTGATATAAAAAATAAAACACATAGTTGTTTTTAAGAAAAAATATGTAGCTTTTAATTGCAAATTATATACATTTTTCATAAAACAATGTTATGTGTTTTCTTTTCATCAATCACTTGATTCCTTCCATTAAATTTGTGCATAAAAATATTAAGATAAGATCATCGAAAAATGAATATTTTACGAACTATATTTCATACTTTTTATGTAAAGTTAATATCACATTAAAGTACGGAATATCTTGTAAACTATTTATTTTAACTATCCTACTTTTACTTTTTATATAAAATATTGCAAGACATCGATTTATATTATTAAAAATTTAATAATTAAAATTAAATTAAAAATCATACTTAAGTAATTAAATAATTAAAATAATAAGCTGATTTCGTTAAAAAAAAACTAGGTTGATCTATAAATAATCTTGAAAAATGACCTTAATTAAAAAATTTAAGATTATCAACTTTTCATCCCCTTCGAAATTTTTTAACTTTTGTACAAGATATTATCTCGTTGAAGCCATAGTTTCAGCGATATTCGACTAATTAATTAATGGAATACCCTCTCTGTATAAGTATGGTATATCAAGATTAATATTTTTTTTATTTTGAAATGGAAGAAAGAACTTGTTTTCCGTTCTTCAATCTTCTCAATTCAATACTTGTGTTCCTTATCCTAGGATTTTCGCGACTCGTCAACAATACAAGAAGTTGAAGTATAAAATCGTTTTATGGATTAAATATCCTTGTTTTTGAGTCATGTCTCATTTCGAAGAACTAAGAAAGGACGAAACATCTCTCACCCTGCGGTTAATAATTCACAATTTTCCGAGAGATTTTGCCTATTATAAGCCTAATGTTTGATGCACATACTCTCGCACAGAGAGTACCAGATTTCTTTAGAGATCAACTAGTATGTGCATCAAACCTTAGGCTTATAAATGATCACGTCTCTCGACAAATATTCAGTAGATAGAGGAGAAGGCGTACCCTTGTTTTCCGTCAAAGTTGCCGATTAAATGACACTTGATATGAATTAATGCCCGCTTCCTTGGCGAGAACCAGCGAAAATCGGCGGGGCAAAGGAGAGGGAGAGAAACGAGAGACGCGCAAATATATTCTGCGAAGTCGAAACCGCAGCGCGACCGTGGCTACCAAGTTACAAACTATTTCGAGTCCCCATCGATCAAGCCGAAAGTCGCTTGTCGGCCGAACGAGCATGAATCAGCGAGGCTTATTGAGCATTGGACGTCTAGCTGAAACTCTCTCTCTCTCTCTCTCTCAGTCTCTCCCCCTTTCTCTCTCGATCTCTGCAAATCTCTGGACCAGCAGAGATCGAGAGAGAATCTCGACCGAGAGAAAGCGGGCGAACGTTGTTTGTCGGTTTCCGGGGGATGACGGGAGGGAGGGAGGAGAAAAGGGAAAACGAAAGAGAGAAAGAGAAAGAGCAGTGCCGGTTCGGCGGCCACTTAAAAATTGATCGAAACCTTTTTACGACCGGTGGTCCGTGTCGGGGTTGGATGCCCCGAATATCGTGGAGTCCATAGAGAGAAGAAGCAGCGCGTCTCCAGAAGGGGCGCGAAGGGAGGAAGGGAGGTTAGGACCGGTTCGCGGTTCTTCGTGCAAGTTCGGCAATCGAATCGCAAAGTCGTGCATGCCGGCTCTGCTCCTCTCTCTCTCTCTCTCTCTCTCTCTCTCTCTCTTGTCTACCGACGTCTCATCTGTGTGGACCCTTCGGGCGATGCTGCAGCGGTAGCCGAGAGATGAGTATGCGCTGCGTGTGCGTGGAGACGATCCCTATGTGCCTCTCGTGTTCCTCACTTCCTCTCGGAAACCGTTCTCCTATGAACGAGAGACGCGCGCTATCTCTCCTCGAATGAGAGGAGATTCCGAGCGCGATGGAGAGATACAAGGACGGAGCAGAAACGTCGAGGATCGTCCATGACGTGTCCACTTGCGCTAAACGTCCACGAGCTAGTTTTAAATGTCCATTTAAATGTCCTGTCCTTTTTCGTTTACTGTCTGCCGCGCATTTTATGCAGTATATGTAATATGTATATGTATTTTTTTTCTTTTTTTAAAGAATATATTTTTGGAAACGATTTTTCCTCAGCAAAATTGTCGAGGAACGTGCCATCATTTCTTGCATGTTCCCAATTTTTGCCATCATGTATCTTTATTGTAAGTAATTGTAAGCTTTGAATTAAAATTCTATTAAATTAAAATTAACTCGACCTGACATTAACTGAAGAATCTAGTTTTAATATTTTAACTCTATAAAGTTTAGTTTATGAGATATCTTTTCTTAATCATTTATAACTCGAAAATTATTGGTGCCTCGACATTTTCACTGAAGAAAAATTGTCTCCAAATTGGCCAGAGAGTTTGATGGTATGCTTCATGTATGTTTGTTCAGTTACATCCTGTATACCTTTTTCGGTAAAAATAATACATATATATTTTCTTTTAAATAAAAATTTGATGATAGATCAATTTAAAAAAAAAATATATATGTAATTATTTCTACACAATATTATTATACATAATATTATTTCTTTGAAAAAAAATATATATTCAGATCTTTGAAAATATATATATATATATATACGAGCATTTTGTTTGCGTACTGTCTACACGAAATATGCGACAGACAGTAAACGAAAAATATGGACATTTGAAAAAAAATACATATATGTATATATATATACATATGTGTGTAAACTCAATTCTGTATTAGTTTATGGTATTAAATTATATGATAGTTATTATAAAACGCAGTGAAAGATCTCCTAAACTGTTTAATCATTTGCTCGTCGGACGAGAATTCGGAGAAAGCATGTGTCAAATATTTGTGCGTGCGCGCAAAAAAAATGTTGAAAAAAAACCGGCATGAATAGAAGCAGCGCCAGAGCCCCCGGTATCCCTTCTCGATATTTACTCTCGTATTGACGACGGCATATTCATCGATATTTTCTTTTTCGAAGCCAGTACGGATATCGATATTTTTTGTCGACTCTAATAACGAGTAAAGTGTCGATGCTTTTTTCCGATACCGTGTCCTCGGTCCATGTCGGTGGGGGAGGAAGGGCGAAGAGGGGGAGGCAAAAGAGGAAGGGCGAGAAGATACAGACAGGTTGCGTGCAATGTCCGCTGGTCTCTCTCTCTCTCTCTCTCTCTCTCTCTCTCTCTCTCTCTCTCTCTCTCTCTCTCTTTCTCTCTCTATGCGAGCTTGTCGTCCGTCGATCGCGTGTAATGGTAACGACGACGACAACCGTGTACACACGTATCTGTATGCGTGCATGCGTGCATGCATATATGTGTAAGAAAGATGCGCTGGCGTACGCGAAACGCAGGACATCCTCGTTCTACTCCGGGATCCTGCGGTAGGCGCGTGCTCACTCCACTTGGGTTGCCGCCGCCGCCGCCGCTAAGTGTGTATGTATGCGTGTGTGTGTGTGCGCGCTGCCGCCACCGGGCGAGTGGTGGGGATAGGAACGATTGGTGGACGCTGCGTCGAGTTTAGACGCCGAGATCTCGCACGTCAGTCGCGCGGTGGCCGTCATCCCAAGCGGTCCTCGGTATCGGTCCTCTTTGATCGGTCGTACATTGGTTTCTCCATCCTTCGTTCTCTTCGTTTCGCGTATTACGAGCTTTCGTCGCAAGTCGTGTAATAATAAGAGATCGTCAGATCGTCATCGTCTCTTCTGGAGTCTCCCGAAAAGGAACTGGATTTTTATTATATTCGTTTTCTTTATGGGTTCTAATCGAGAGACCGAGGGCGCGTTATTTGCTCGACATCGACATCGGGGAAATAGTGCGACGCGCGGGATTCTGTAATGGCACATCTCCGAACGCGAGTCGGGCAGTCGTTTACGCGAGACGTCGACGTCGATGTCGCACGATTGACACGACGCGTGTTCTACTACCTGCACGTCGGGATGCGGGATATCGTTACCGGACGGGATATTATTTTGTCGGCGTATCACCGTAAACGGATAACATTCTGATACAGGGTTAACGTCTGTTGAGCGATTTTCACGCGACGCGACCGCTCTAATTTTCGATCGTTCTCTGAAGAATCAGTAAGCTGACCCGCGAGTACAGAATAACTCATTTTTTGTTGCAAAAAGAAAAATACTGATTGTATGAAAAAAAGACTCGCGTCGAACGAACTACTTTATTTTGATCAATCGCGATTAATAAATAATTGTGATAATTTGAGAAGCACCGACTATCGTTCATCTTCAGTGTGGGTTCGCGACTAATAGTGTAACGAGTGACAGAGTCTCCGAGTGACACATTCTCAAGACTTTCGAGTCGCGTGTAAGAAACTCGCGACCTGGTGACGTGACGTGTAATGATCAGGAGACAGAGAGGCGGTACAGAAACCGAGCCCAGGCAAAGACGAGTCGGTTAAAGATGCGTGGGCTCAATGTCGGTCGGCATGAGGATCCCGGCGGAAGAAGAACTCTGTCGTTGGCCCATTACTGCCTGCTATTACTGCCGGTGTACCACGTGCTCGCTGTAACCAGCGAGCTGCCGCCGAGGCTCGATTTGCCGGATCACTGTACATGGGATTCCGGCCAGGATGGCTCCCTCACCTGCGTGCATCGTTATCCCGCCGGGAACAACGATTCGCTCAGGACCAACTTTTCCCAGGCCACGAGCGAATACGTGACCGCCATGAACGTGGTCTGCGTCGGTCCCGAGGATCTTGAGGAAGACCACGGAAGTCATCTCAACGGCGTTTTCAGCGTCGACAGCTTTCTCCACCTGTGGCGACTGCGATCGTTAAAGTTGACCGGATGCAAGCTGGCGCACTGGCCGGCCAAGTTGCTCAGCGGTCTCCGAGATCTACGTAATCTGACCGTTAGAACGTTGAACGAGCACAAGACCAAGTACAGTCTGGAACTCGAGAGCGGCGCGTTCGACAACACGCCACAGATCGAAAAACTCGACCTGTCGTGGAACAACATCTGGCAGATACCGGACCGCTTGTTTTGCCCGTTATCAAACTTGGTCACTCTCAACATTTCGTGGAACACGCTGAAGGACATATCGGAGCTCGGATTTTGCGATGTCGGCGAGAAACTGTCGAGACGTCAGCAGGAATCCACGTCGACGCCGTTCACGTGTTCCCTCGACGTGCAGTCGCTGGACGTGTCTAACAATCAGATCTTGGTGCTGCCGGCTTACGGATTCTCGTCGTTAAAACGGCTCAGAGTATTGAATTTGTCTAGCAACGCGATCTCCAAGGTAGCCGACGAAGCTCTGCACGGGCTCAGATCCTTGGAGAGTCTCGACCTGTCCGGCAACAAGATCGTCGCTCTGCCGAAGGAGATGTTTCGGGACGCGACCAAGTCGCTGAAGGAACTGAGATTGCAAAACAATTCCATCAGCATGATGTCGCCGGGCTTGTTGGCTAACATGAATCAACTGGTCGCTCTTGACTTGTCGAGGAACGTCCTGACGAGTTCCTGGCTGAACTCGTCGACCTTCTCCGGTCTGATACGCCTCGTGCTCCTCAACCTGTCTCACAATCGAATCAGCAAGCTGGATCCAGCACTCTTCAAGGATCTTTACACTCTGCAGATTTTAAATCTCCGGTTCAACGAAATAGAAACGATCTCGGCCGACACATTTTCGCCGATGAGCAATCTGCACACTCTTGAACTTGCTCACAATCGGTTGACTTATCTCGACGCTTACTCTCTGAACGGATTATTCGCGCTCTCCTTGCTGGCCTTGGATTCAAACATGCTCGAGGGAATTCATCCGGACGCCTTTCGAAACTGTTCGAGCATGTTGGATTTAAATCTGTCCGGCAACAATCTCGAGAGCATACCGGTGGCGTTAAAAGACATGAGGATACTGCGAACCCTCGATCTGGGCGAGAATCAAATCAGGAGCCTCAACAAACCCGGTTTCCGAGGAATGTCAAGTCTTTACGGACTGAGAATGATCGGTAACGAGATTACCAACGTCACGCAGGATGATCTGGTAGAATTGCCGGCGTTGCAGATTTTAAATCTGGCCAGGAACAGAATCGAATACGTCGAGGACGGGGCGTTCACGTCGAATCCAGCGCTTCAGGCCATTCGACTGGACTCGAATTTGTTGCAAGACATGTCCGGCATCTTTGCCAGCGCGCCCGGCCTCCTGTGGCTCAACATATCCGACAACATGATCGCGCAGTTTGATTACAGCTACCTGCCTGAGAAATTGCAGTGGATGGATCTGCATAAAAATCTTATCGCCGATCTCGGCGTCGCGCCACGAAGTGTGAAACTGCAGACTCTGGACGTGTCGTTTAATCGGTTGACGAAAATTAACTCGCGCTCAATCCCGGATTCCATCGAGCTACTGTTCATAAACGATAATCTTATATCATCCGTGGAACCGCAGACCTTCTTCACTAAGATGAATCTTACTCGAGTGGATCTCTACGCGAATCTGATCGTCAAGATGAACCTCTCGGCGCTTCAGCTTACTCAGGTGTCTCCTAATCGGCAACTTCCGGAATTCTACATCGGTGGAAATCCCTTCATATGCGACTGCACCACGGAGTGGTTGCAGAGGATCAATTCGTTGTCGATGGAACAGCACCCGAAAGTGATGGATCTCGAGTCCGTTTACTGTAGATTACCCTACGATCGTCACAAGTCGTTTATACCTCTGCTCGAGGCCAAGCCGTCGCAATTCCTGTGTACTTACAAGGCTCACTGCTTCGCCCTCTGCCACTGCTGTGATTTCGACGCCTGCGATTGCGAGATGACGTGTCCGATGAATTGTACGTGTTATCACGATCAATCTTGGTCAGCGAACGTCGTCGATTGTTCCAGCTCGGGTTACAAAACTCTACCCGGTCGCTTGCCAATGGACGCGACGGAAGTTTATCTCGACGGTAATAATTTCGGAGAATTAAACTCGCACTCGTTCATCGGCCGGAAGAATCTGCGGATCCTCTACGCAAACGATAGTAACATCATCGCGATCCGCAATCACACCTTCAGCGGTCTGAAGAGGCTGCTGGTGCTTCATCTCGAGAACAACAAGATAAGCGCGCTCAACGGCATGGAGCTGATGCCGTTGGAGAAACTCCAGGAGCTCTATTTGCAGAACAATCTGCTGACGTACATCGACAACGGCACGTTTCTGCCGTTGCGTCAGCTGGAGGTTCTACGTTTGGAGAACAATCGGCTCGGCACATTCGCCCTCTGGCAATTGGGCCAGAATCCTTATCTCGTCGACATCGGTCTCTCCAGCAATCCCTGGAGCTGCGAGTGTTCCTATCTGGATCTCGTGCGGGAGTGGATGGCCCGTAACCGGGCGAAGATCAACGACTGGCAGAGCGTCACCTGTTCCCTCGGCGTGCCCATAACTCTCCCGACGAACGGATCGGTCATAAATTGCGCGGCATTAACGGGCACGACCTCCGTCGTCGAGACACGTCCGCTCGAGGCTTATCTGCCCCTACTGCTCGCCACGATCGTCCTGATCTTCGCGACTGTGGCGTTGGTCTGCGGCGCTTTCCGGCATCGTCGCACTCTCAGGACATGGGCAGCTAGCAGGTGCGGTCTGAGGGCCTGCTACAAGACCGCCGCGTTCGAGGATCAGGAGAAGCCATTCGACGCCTACATCTCGTACTCGGCCGTCGACGAGGCCTTCGTCTCAACAATCCTCGTGCCGGGTCTCGAGACCTCTTACAGGCTGTGTCTGCACTATCGCGACCTCGGGGCCGGCAGCAACGTCGCGGACGCCGTGGCCGAGGCCGCGGATTCTTCGAGGCGCACCATCCTCGTGCTATCCAAGAACTTTCTCCACGGCGAATGGTCCAGATTCGAGTTCAAGGCGGCCCTGAGAGACGCTCTCAAAGGTAAGGGCCGCTCGGTGATTTTGCTACTGGTGGGCGGTGTGTGCCCGCGGGACCTTGACGCCGATCTCAAGAAGAGGATCTCCTCGCACACTGTATTGGTGTGGGGGGACAAGTTGTTCTGGCAGAAGCTGAGGTTCGCCATGCCGGATGTGTCGCCCGTTCCTGTCCTGGAGAGACCACTGCCACTTCCGCCGCCCCCCGCCACCCCCCATGCATCATCAATGGACGTAGAGCTGCCCTTATTTAGGTAAAGTAAAATTTTCAAAAAAAATTTTTATTTATCTCGAAGTAGATATCTCTAGAATAATCTGTGCGACGTAGAACTGCCGTTTTTTAGATAAAGTAAAATTTTTAAGAAAATATTTTATTTATTTCTAAGTAGGAAAATTTATAAAATAATCTGTGCGTCACTGTCTACGCAGTTCGTATTTGTCGAAAGAAACATGATGGTATGCTTAGAAAATATCTTTGACGTCTTTTGTACGCATTAATCTACGATGCGAGTTATTAGGATTCGATAAAGAACAGGCTCGATGTTACAGATTTGGAGAGATATCGGTTTTACAATAATTTCCAATAAATCTACCGCACTGCACGTACATCCAGTGAATATTTGCATATGAATATCTATTGCATATCGAAATGTCCAACGGATTTCGGGATATCCGATAGTACTGCCATTATTTATTACTGCATGAAAAAACGTTTTATACAAAATTTGTTACGCCCTGTAACGTGGAAGTGAAATTATCGCGTTCATCTAAATAAAGTCATTCAAGCGAAAAATAATATAATATTCTCCATCACAAAAAATGCATTATATGATATATTTTTATTTTTCTGGGACACTGTGTTTCTCTTAAACGAAGAATGATTTATTCAATTTATGTGATCTTCGTATATATAAAATTTCTAAACTCCATCATTTTATATTCTTTGAATTATCACAAGTCAGCATATGTCATTTTAGACATCCGACTCTTGCACTAATTTCTGATGCAGCACGACAGAACAAATATTATCCTTTCTCAGAGTGCATAACGCGATGAATTCTATATATCCCGAAGTGGGAAGTGACGTTACTTCCGCTCGCGGTCAAAAGTCGTCCAATAAGTACGGATTGTCGTTCGTCGCCGACCCAATAGAATTCATAATCGATGCTAGCGCGTGTCCATAAAGCCTCGAATGCATAACACGCCCGTTATTATATATATACGTGTATAATGGCAACGGTCGAAATTATATATAATTCCTGAACGACAAGCTAACGAGAGGCAGTCATAGTTGTGCCATTGAATGCGCTTCTACACGCGACCTGTGGCCCATTTAACGGCGACGCATTTCGCGCCATTGTGATCCTGGGGAAGGCATGAATGAGGTCATCTTTCCATGCGCGCGGTCGGTTTTACGGGAACATATGGATCGAGCGAAGGCAGGGAGGAGGAAAGGGGAGGGAGAATATATGTACGAAAAGTCGCGTTAAATTTGTCGTCACATACTCTCTGGTGGACCCGGAAACTAGGAAAACCTCCATCAATCGTGCTCTCGACCGTTCACACATAACTATTCTCACTCAATTAGCGATTAAGCTCACTTTGTCCGAACCTCGTCCCTTGCCGAAGGCACAAAGGACCGTAAACCTGTCGATCGTTCGCTCTTAAACGCCGATCTGCTCTGACAAAAGCCCTGTTATACGATCGGTGCAATCGTTATTGTGATAAATTTATTTGCAACTGATTAGTCGTGCACAGAACGTGAATTTTTCTTGGCACGATGCCAAAAAGTTAAATAAATCTCAGTTCGAGAGATTTGTATTTTAAATTCTTTCATTCTGCTTCTCTTTTGTGCTCTTTGTGTGTATAACTAATTGGTTTAAAGAAAATTATTTTTTTCCTGGAAATTTATTTGCATTTTCATATATTAAATATTTAAAAAATATTGATTTTGTATCACGAATCTCGAATTTATTTATAACATAGCTACTTTTGACAGTAATCTTATTTCACATATGACAATATATTTAGAAAATAAAACTTTTTATTCTGCCATTGTAAAATTTTATTTATATTCAAGAAAATTGGATACGATGATTTTCAGTCGATGTGATAAAAGTGATGTAGTATAAACTTTGTCTTCGTATAAGCAAGATTACTCTAGATTGGGATGTAAGAAACTCTCTTGCAAAGTTTTGCAATGTTCTAGAATATTATAGCTCACCAAAGTCGTCGTATTCGTAAGAAATAAGGTCAAAAAGTTGAATACAATTCCGATTTTGACACGGTTTTAAAGAAAGGAGAGTGTATCGTGTGTGTCATGAAAAAGCACAAAAGTTTGATTATTCTTCTTCGAACTTTAAAAATATAAAGTTAAAAGTATATATAAAAGTATATAGAGACAGTTCACACACTAGTCTAAAAATATGGATTATTACTCGTGTTTAGAAAATATTATACACGAGATAATGATTGTTATTATCAACTAATTCATGTTGTTGCGAAGGCACGAAAAGCGTCGCAAACTTTCTTCTGGAATCTAGAATTAGTCATCTTCATGTTTAACTTCTTAAGACAATTCTGTTCGTCACGACTTAAAGTTACAAAAATAAACGTGACGAGTATATTCGTAATTGCATTTTTTACCTAAATGGCATGCCATTTAGCAAATTCATCATTTCGTTTCTACTAATTAGTGAATAATTTATATTAAAAAATTAATAAGTTGAATATGATCTCTCTATTCTTTCTCTTTCTCTACATTTTTTCCCACGTATATTTGAAAATTTTAATTATTGCATTTTTAAAACTTATTAAACTATATAACAATTAAAATTATCATTTAATTTATATTATTAATTATAATTTTACTTATATTGTATTTTACAAAAAAATATTCTATTATCATATTTTTACAAGGTATAAAATAATGAGCAATTTTATTTATAAAGCAATGACTATTTCTTCTGTTTTATTTGTTCGTAAAAATATTATAATTAAAATATGATATTTCTTGCCCTCTTGCATATATTCCGCGGAATAATTTAATCCCCTCAAAGAGAGATTTATATAAAATTCCAAATAAGGAGGCACATAAAATTATCACAGTATATAATTAAATAGTAAAGTATATACATGTAATTGCTTAAATGACAAACTGCTATCACATTTAACGGCGATTTTATTTCGCATTCCGCTCTCTTCTCCGGCATTGACGTAAATGACGAGCAATTTGGTGATCCGGCCGGACTCTCGCGCCTTTGTAATCACCAGCCGAATAGAATTATCTCCGTCGCGCAGATCGACAACACGCGCGAAAAGGGCGACCGAATGACGTATGTATGTGTGTGCGCGCGCGCGCGCAACGTTACATTAAAGCTGGCGCGCGTCGCACGGGAAAATTAGGAAAGTCAATTGTGATCGTCCGATTCCCCGCAATCCCGCAGCACAATGGACCTTCGCCCCTGACCGCAGGCCGCCAGACAGGCGGGTCTCGATTTTCTTTGTATCAGGTGACCTGGCTCGCGCGCACTAACTTTCCGCGACACGCTTCAGTTTCAGTTGTTTCACTCCAAGAGCTTCAGCTCCGGCGCGAAATGGTGCGGTCGGTCCCTCTCGCGGCTCTCTCATCAAAAGGGCGAAACGAAAATACGAAGAGAGAGAGGGAATTGTCCAAACCGAGGGGGTCCGAAAGGTCCCTTTTTATCCTATAAACTTCCACTTTGGCGCCTGCGCGTGGTCCAGGACTTTCATTAAAAGCTAAGCCGCTGGTAAGCTGCATCGATATATCAGCTCTCTCTCTCTCTTTCTCTTTCGGACCTAACCCTGGACGGGGATTACGTAAAGAAGTTATTTAACCGGACATTGGGACGCTCGCAAACGCTTATTGTCCCGTTAGCTCGCGACAGAATTCAATTGGGTTACTTCAAAACCTGTTCTGGACCGCAAATAATTCGCGATTCGCGAAATCTTCCGGGGCTGCTCTTTCGCCGACGCTTGACGAAGAAAAAAGAACGATCTCGCGTTCTTTTATCGTGATTTATCGTTACGCTTAGCCTTTAAGAGGAGGATTTCGTTGTCAGTTTTGGGTTGCTCGAGTATGATGTACGATGTCATACGACGGCTGGTGTGGCAACTTTTTATTGATCGAGCTATCATACGGTAGTCGCCAATAACGAGCGTTTAAGCGCTCGTCAATTTGCCCTCTTCTACCCTCGTTCGTTGTCGAATTCGGGGAACCCCGCTCTCGGAGACTTCGGCAGCCCGGAAACTTGCTCCTGATCCCATAGAATGGGATTCGTTAAGGGACGAAGGCTCAAGTTTCCTCTCGCGTATTTTCCATGATGGAACTTCGAATCTCCCATACTCTCTCGCGCGATTCTTTCGGAGAGAAACCATTTAACTGCGCGATAACATTATCGCGCGAAGGTTACGCAGACTGATCAATCTTGGTGAAAAAGGAAACATCGCGAGAGAAAGGGGCTAGCGAGAAGACGCTTTAATAGAACTCCCGCCGACCGGAGAAACGTACTCGAAATGTCTACGAAGAACGGCAGGTAGAATCTTCGATCGCGTAGAGGTACCTACCTCTATACCTGCCCGCGCCGTTCGTTCTGCACTTGACAAGGGCACACCCGGAGTCCAGAAGACAAATGGCTCCTCGCCGTCGACCTTGCATACTCTCTCCCTCGGTTTCGCGGTGAGGGAGAAAAGGAACGAGAAATTGAAAAGTGATTTGTATACTAATTCGTTTTGCGCAAGCCCGTAGGTGGCCAAGCGCATTTCGGCGTTCTAGGCATACCTTTGCTCGGTGGAATGGCCGTTCATTACCGCCTTTTGCGTGCGCACGCCGGATCTTAGTTGTTGAGGTAGCAATCACGGCCGAGAAGTGCGATTCTAACTTTTACCTGAGTCCCATCTGCGAGATTTCATCTGAAATTGCGATTCTAAAGTGCGAAGATGTCTGTGATATTTTTTTTTCTTCAGCTACTTTGTTACGATATTTTTTTTGCCTATGTTTCTTTAAGAGAGTGAGGACAGATTTAGTAAAATAAAAATCTGAAATTGAGTTTATTTTAATTACTTGTGATCGGATTGAGGAAAATTTGTGTCCTGTGAAAAATAATTTTCCTTGGAACTGACGTATTAAATGGTTTTCACTTTTACCATCCGTGTTCTGTCTGCGAGATTATATCTGAAATTGCGGTTCTAAAGTGCAACGATATATAATTTTTTTTTTTTTTTTTTTTTTTTT